TGAATGGAGATGACCATTGTGACAATTGTCCCCCTTTTCATGGAGGATAATTCGAATCATTGGAAACTTATTTAAGTTCATGTGATGGCTTTAATTTATCAATATCATTAATAAAATATTCATTTATTTTAATAGATTTTGCCACCAACACTTTTTTTCATTTTTCTCCTTCATTAAAACTATTCATGCCCAGTCTTAAATGAACTGTTAACCATTAAGTTGGTAGCATGCCCATGCCCTATTCTTTGAAACGAGCACATGCCACAGATAGCATTCAACTTTACTGTTATGCTTATATTTTTTTCATTGCCTAATTCTGAAAGCCTTTGTCATTGATAACATTGGAGTACTTAGCAGTTAATTTTCCTATTCCATGCTGCTTTAGAGCTATAAATCCATGTAGGCAAAAATATCTTACTCAGAATTAAGCCAGATGCCGCAATTCATTAAGGAAACACCACCAGCCACTCCTCGGAAGGAAGGTTGGGCATTCCTACTTCCATAGTGATACTGCCTCAGAAACCCAAGGAGGGGTCGCCATGAGTCGGGGCCAACTCGATGGCAAATAACAACAACAATAACATTGACTTCATGCTTAAAAATTGATTAAACCAGAAATCTTAGTGCAGAATCTATAGTAACTTTTAAACTTGTTACTTGTGTCCTATGTATTATTTAAAATACTATAAAATATTTAAAATAATTTTTTTTACATTCAGTAGGATGAAAAATGAGGTCACCATAGTTATGATGATGACCCAATTAGTCACTACCTGTGGCCCTGCAACAAGATATTCCCTTACAGATAACCTAACTACCTAACATAATGCTACCAGTACTAAGTAAGAACTTAGAGACTTTGATGGAAAGAGAGGTCATTCTTAGGTAAGCACACCTACCATTTGTGCTGTAGTTAGGATGATAAGTTACCTCATTAAAACACTTGGACTTTCTGTTAGAGGATTTTCAGCACCTTTCTTTTTATCCACTTACTAAGCCTCATTATACTTACTGTTGTGGTAAAGTAAGTAAAAAGGAATGAAAATGTGGAACAGAGTCAGCAAACTTCTTCTGTAAAGGGCCAGGTAGCAGATACTTAAGCTTGGCAAGCCACATCCAGGCTGTGTTGCACATTGTTCTCTGTGTTCGCTTGTTTCTTCACTTGGTTTGGTTTTGTTCTTTAAAATCCTTTAAAAGTATAAAAACTCTTCTTAGCTTTCCAGTTGTGCAAAAAACAGGCCACAGGCCTTAGTTTGCCGACCCCTGGTGTAGAACATCAGCAGTGTCTTCACTTTATTCACTTTTATCATGGGCAGGATCCAAATACTGGATTCCCTACACACTGTTGAAATCAATATAGAAAGAGTGGAAGGCAGCCTAAAACTGTGTAGAACTTTACTGGTAATAATTCAATTAGGTGGCCATTTTTCTGACTTTAAAACTACTCTGATAAGTTCCCAAGATAATCAGGTCCTGAAAGATAAGATCATGATGTCTAAAACATTTAGAATGAGCTGAACAACCTAATGTCAGTTTATCAGTAGAATACTTACTTGGCATGATCAGCACATTTTATGTAAGTCAAGCTATATAGTAATTGCAGTAGATAACATTTATACAGTATCTACTAGCCAATTGCTGTTTAAGCATTTCATATATATTAACTCATTTAATCCTCAGAAGAAACTCCTTGAGGTAGGTTATTTTAACCTGATTTTACTGATGAGAATACTGAGGCACAGAGAAGTTGGGTACTTTTCCCAAAGTTTCATAGCTAGAAAGTTGTAGAACTAATATTCAAACCTAGGCTATTTAGTTCAGAGTCAGTTCTCTTACCCATTGCACTCACTATACTGCTTCTCTGAACATTTGGGGAGATATCGTCATTAGGACTAAGAGCTGCAGACCAGCCTTCCTGACAAAGGCTGATTCTGCCAAACAGAGTCTTCCTATTACCTGAATAGATGACTTCATTTATTAAGCAGGAGCTTTTGTGATAGGTTCTGAGGACTCCAGGGTAAGATTGTTGCAGAAAACAAAGAGAAACTGGAAGGTAGGAGAATTGAAGGACTAAACTCCCTGTTGAGTTTGAACCAAGAGCTTTTTACTAAGCAGTAGAATCAATTGCACTACAGAGAGACAGAAAGACAGACCATAAGCCTGCTTGATGAGCATGGAATCCAAATAAGGGGAGCTATAGGAGTGAACTGTCTAGTAGCACCAGGCTGAACTACCGGATGCATCCATCTGACAAAGGAGCTGGTCTTGGTCGTTGGAAAGACTCAAAAATCCATTGGTTAAAACCTTCTGCTCCCATCTCCATACCACAGACTCTTTCTACCTTAGACCAGAATGGAAAGGCAGTGACAACTTTTACATTTATTAGTAATTTTTTTCTCTTTGCTTCATTGCCTGATTAATATATTCCCTCTCTGATTAATACATTCTATCTTTAGATAATTAATATATTCATTCTTTTACTTTCAAGTTTTGCCGGCCTAAGAGTATTTCTGTCTTTTGTGACTTTGCATATCTCTATTCCAGTCCACTCTGTAACGATTTAACTCTCTGAGGGACAATCATTTTCTTTCCATCAATTCCAAGTCCTTGGAGAAAGCATCACTCCAGCTACCATGTGCTAATTACATTTCACAGTACCAGAGTGCCATGTGTTCTCTTTAGCCACTTAAAAGATATATAACTACATCATGGATTTTCATGTATAATTTCAAAATGAGTACCCCAAATGTACATAAATTAAATCCATTGTTCCATCTGAAGCATTTGGTGACAGTGACAAATCCCTCTAGCCTCTACAAGCATACTTCCTTGTTCTGACTGGAGATCTTAAGCACTTTCTAACATTTGTCCTTTATTTGTCACTAGCCAGTCCTACAACCCCACAGCCCTGATGGAACTACCTTTTCACGTTCCTCCTGAAAAGCCCAAGTGCTAGGATTGTGCCCTTGGAAATGGAGACAATTCTAAAATCTCTAGCTATGATTTCCTAATTTCCCAGGTCAGGAGAAAATTTCTTCCTGTTATCCTGCTGTGCTTTGTCACAGCAGGTCTGCCTTTTCATTTGGAAGCCTCTTTGTCACTGCCATAGTAACAAATGGAAACATTGAGAACATTTTGTGACAGGCACTGTCATTGTTCCCAGTGAAATCTCTTCCCCTGTGTCTTCCCAGTAAATGAAACTGAGAAGAAAAATCATAACAAATAACATAAAAGGGGACCTAATCAATATGTTCCCACTGGGCTGTCAAAACTAGCCTGTGTTAATCTAATACAGTTTAGTTGTATGTTTTATGGCAGCTATAGGAATATGGACAAGACCTACAAATCATCTTTAGACTAAAAGTGAGTACACCATTGACAGTTTGTGTCTGGGAATATATATATACAACTCTCACTATTTAAGGATCAACACCAAAAAAAAAAAAAAGAAAAAAAAATTTCATTAAGTGTGGACCCATACACAGTTTAGAACATTTTATTCTAAGTGGTAGTAAAGTAACTGTGCTACCTTTGAATACTTTCTACTTTCAAAACTCTAATGACAGCTTTAGCAGAAAAAAAAGGTATTACCTGAAAATATACTACCTACCATATGCAAATGACTTTTAAAGCCACTTAGCAATCATGATATAAGTAATTATACTATTTCCCATCTAATAAAGGAAACATTAATTTCACTTTCTAATTCATGTTCAGAACAGAATTTTAATAAAAGATTTAATTTTCCAGAGCAAGAATGCACTTCCTCTTCATGTAGCATACCTGTGTATGCCTCTGAGCACCAGAGAGATTCTTTAAATTATATGCATATTTCGATCCTCACCTTATTTGTTTGTGCCCAAACATTTGAACATTTCTACCTTTCTCCCCTATTTTTCTTCATTGCACCTTTATTGTGCTATGCAAAGAAGTGGTGCAGAATTCTTGTGATTTTTTTTTTTTTCCTGCACCACCTTCTTCCTTTATTGTCCAACTCAGAAGACTAGAAAATAACTTGGCATTAAATTTATCATTTCTCACATGTCACTCAAAAAACAAACTTTCATATGACCCACTATCTGCTGGGGATTTACTTGATGGTGACCAAGATAACAGCTTCCTACCCCT